GAGTATCACGTACCGAATTTAAACAAGCATCCGTTATTCAGAGAGTGCATAGGTGCGATTGACGGAACGCACGTCGAAACTGTCTTGCCATAGGATAAACGAGTAAATTTTATCAGCCGTAAGGGCATTTCAACACAAAATGTTCTTGCAGCATGTGATTTCAATTTGTGTTTCACATTTGTTCTTGCTGGTATGGCGGAGACTACACGTGATTCACGCATTTTGGCGCGTGCTTCACAGTTCGAAAATTGATTTTTCGCATCCTGTCGAGGGAAAATATTATCTTATCGACTTGAGATTTGCCCATAGACCTAGGTACATGATTCCATATAAGGATCTGATATATTGTATCATTTTCAGCAGTTCTATGATGGTTAAATGGGTTGCAGACGAAACTTTTTACAATACACGTGAGAAATTTAACTTCAGACATTCCTCGTGCAAAAACATAATCGAACGTGCATTTAGTGTCTGAAAAAGTTGTTGGAAAATACTTGATCATATGTGGAGATACAATTTCAAAGTACAGATTGCTGTTGTCGTAGCTAATATGGGTATTCACAACTTCCTTCGACGGGCAGGAGTCATCAATGAGGCCTTTATAAGAGTGAAGACAAATCCCAATGCGATGGAGGTAGACCTTTTAGACGAACAAGAACAAGTTGCTGATGAAATTAATGCACCAAAAATGCAACAAAATAAGTGGGATCATTTTCATGATTAGTTGGCCGAAAGTCGGCAGCGCATGTGTTCTTACAACAATGCCTTCTTTGCATTAAAATTTGGTCATTCGTTGTGCTTTGTTATACTTTTAGGAATGGAAAATGGGAATAAAATGAGAATTGCTTTCATTACATTTTCTGTGTACCTCAAATTTTTTTTTTTTTTTTAATTGTTGTTAATGCGTCGATGGCCCTCAAACTACGTGATTGTGGCTTCGAAACAGGTGAAATGGAAAAAGGCTGAAAGACTTATATTATGGTCAAACATTTGCAGTTTTCTGGAAAGATACACGTGAAATGCTTTGCAATTTCAAACAAATTTTCGAGGGACAAAATGGTCAAAATGCTGCATTTAGGTTAGACGATTTGCCAATTTTCCCAAAATTCAAACCTTCAATGGTCCAATTTTACCTATTTAGCTGGCCCAAATAAGCGCTTAATGTCCACAATTTAGCATTCGTTTCACAAAAATTATAAATGGTCAAATTTAATTTGTAGTTACACATTCTAATAAATTCAGAAGTATTATCTACAATTCTCTTTTATCTATTTATAAATTATTTCCAAATGAAGGCTAAAATGCATTATAAGGACTCGTTTGGTATGATTTTTAGTATTATTTTTGTTTCTTGTAAAGAACTTCCTAAAAAAATGATCTTAGATCAACTTATTCTAAAAACCTTATAATTGACAAAACACTTCTAAAATATTATTTAAACATATTCGAATGAAAATTTTTAAACTTAAAAGCAACTTTTGATTTTCAAAAGTTCTGCGAACGATAAAATATCTCATTTCCCCTCCTTTTATTTTAAAAAATTCTAGCCCTCGATTTGAGCTCTATTTTAATTTTAGGGGGTGTTTGAGCTACATTATTTTAGTAATAATGTATTTTTGAATAGTGTATTTATGAGAAATGTGTAATTAAAAAATAAGAAATTTTCTTTGATTTGTGTGTAATATTATTTTATTGAAGAATGTGTTGTTGAAATGATGTCAAATCACTATTTAAAAATGCGTTTTTTTGAAATAATGTGGTTCAAACAGGCTCTTAATATATTTTTCTCTTTCTTCTTTTAACCACATTTTCCAATAAAATAATATTATATCTAAATACAAAATTTTTTGTTCTTTTTCAAACAACATTTCTCTTTCATAAAAATCAAAATTCCAAAGTATATTTTCTCCAAAAATAACTGGGGGCCTACAAAATAGCACTTTAATCCCCGATAATTTAACATATTATTTACAAGTCCCAAAAGAACCTTAAATTAAATATCTGTATATAAACTGGTCCTCGGGGATTTGCCCTTCTCCTCAAGCAAGTGAAATAAAGGCACATACAGTACCCATAGCCCTCTCCCGATCCTGTCCGCGCCGAAGCATAGATTAATCATGCCGACAGGTTAGATAATTTATCGTGTTATCAATTATCACAATTTTCTTCGCAATCCTCGAAAATTTCTAATTTCAATTTGAAATGGGTTTTCCTTCTATAAATTTTTCGTGAACATTTAGCGGAGCGGTATTTGAAGACGCTTCCTTTGAGATATTTTATTTAGATGTTGGTTTTTGTGATTGTTTGTTGTCGCTTCTTGATTAGTGTGGTGTATCTACGTTTATTATTGACTGGGGATCGGTATTGTTTATTATTTAGATGGACAGTGACTTTTTGGGAGATTGATGTCCTAACATAAAAGTAATACTAATGATGTGCAAGAACTGAAGTATTATTTTTTAATATAGGTGCTTCTTGCTAACTCTATTCATGAGATAAATATATCCGTATTGACTCTTTGATTTTGGGTAGAAGAGAAAAGAGTGAACTTTGTGGAGAATCATTGAGTTTTTCATTAAGAAATGCTGGGTTTATTGTTGGGTGTTCTTAGATCTGGGGGATGGATTCTCCCTATTGACCCAATGTCGATTTATTATCCTCTTATTTTGTTTAAGTACAGTTTTCTTTACAAGTAATCTGAAGTTTCCTAGCCATTGCGAACATATGAAACCACATCAAGCTTTGTGCAGGAAACTCCATTCAAAGAGTAGAATGGAAAACAACACATGATAAAAAATTTACATGCTAACTTGCGGAATATCGCAAGTGACCATAGAAACTTATAGTGACATCCTAGATGCTTAACCGATAGGATGTTAGAACCCAGATAATTTATAAAAAATAATTTGGTCTAAAAAACCACCTGATATGCTTCTCAACTTGACTGTAGATTAGATTGTTAGAATTTTACTTCTAATCGAGAGGCATAACACCATGCACTTTATTGAAAATTTATGTACCAAAGAATCTTGAAAATGAATCAATTACAATAAGATTTCTTGAGAGGGAAAAATTGTAATCGATCTAGGATGGCATTTTATATGAAACAAAGGGAAATAAGAAGACATAAAGTTGTTATTCGACATTGTTAAAATTAAAAAGAAAAAGGAAATACTCATGCATAAGGTTATTGCTCACATAAACAGGACATTATCATTTGCAGATATGTTTAATGATGTTGTTTTCCAATATGATTGGGTTTTATTTATGCTTCATTGCAAGTGAAGTTACTTAGCCTCTATCTCTGCTATAACCTAGAGGGATAAACCCCCTCTCTCTCTCTCTAGAGATGACCTAATTGTTATCTGAGATTCTCTGCTTATTTTTTCTTTTTTCTCCCCTTTTGTTTTATGAGGGAAATTCAGATATTAAATATTTTCCCCAAAAAAACCTTTGAAAATTGTAAAGAGGACTGCGTCATGCCAAAAAAAAAAAAAAAAAAATTCCTGGGGGGGTTTGTGTATGGTCTCTTGAATGAATTATCCATTTCTCCATGTATTCTAAGAGCAACCTTGTTCCGTACTTATGCAGGGCTTTTTGGTATGTGTTTGACATCGCTTGTATTGTCATTTTTGCAGTAAGTGTAAAGTGGCAAAAAGAGCTATATCCCAATGTGGAAATAGACACTAGCCAGTCCCCATATGTTTTCAAGTGCCAGCTCTACGACCTTACTGGAGTACCACCTGAAAGACAAAAGATTATGGTCAAAGGTGGTTTACTAAAGGTATCGAAGTAGCTTCTTAGTGAGAAAATATTATTTCCGATATTTATTGATTTTATTTTTAAATAAATAAAGTACTTTAGTTAATTCTTTCTGGCATGCTGCGTTATTCTTTCAACATCTCACGGCATCTTTCTTGACAATGTAGGATGATGCAGATTGGTCAAAATTAGGAGTGAAAGAGGTGAACGGTTTTTATTGTATGAGACTCTGTTCAATTTATAAAGTAGAATCAGCATTTACTTATTTTTAGTATGTTTTATTTATGCAGGGTCAAAAATTGATGATGATGGGAACCGCAGATGAGATTGTGAAGGCTCCAGAAAAGGGCCCTATTTTTGCTGAAGACATGCCAGAAGAAGAACTAGTTATTCATGTGGTAATTAATTTATATAATAAGCTTCTTGAAATATGTTTATTAGAGAAGGTCTGCAGCTTTTCCGAAGATTTACAGGTATGCTAGTCCAGTTGATGTGAAAATGGTGCATGTGCAAATTGGTCACACATTGACAGTCAAATCTGTTGATCTAAAAATTTTAAACACGATAACCAAGTTATTGAGTTAGAAATTCTTAATTCTTGATTTGTTCGTGACTCAGGACACGTTTAATCTTTACTAATAATAATTCAAAAGATTTTTTTATTTTTATTTTTTTTATCGTGTCTAACTACAATAAAGTTGCAGCTTTTCTTATTGAAATACACTAGATTTAGATTAAGGTTTGACACAATTTTTGTTCTTAAAAACATTACGTACTTCTGAACATGCTTGAGATAGTAGTACAATTAAAACACTCATATAGTGGTTTGCTAGTATGACAGTTCGACTGCCTTTGTTGGATGTGATTTTGCATTGAAAATTTGTGTAATTGAGAGGTGCCTTTTGCTTTTCGACAGGTCCAAGGGAGCCGAATATTTTCCAGTAATTATTGGGAATTACATATTTTCATTACTGTTTTTGCTTTATTTTCCTTTGCTAAGCCAAGCCTAAATATTTCTCTGTCTTCCTGGTTAACCAGGTCTTTTATACTTCAAAAATATTGCAGTGTCCTATAATTTTTGCTTGATTTGCTTTTAGGGTGATACAGCTGCATGTATTCATCTTAGATAGCTAAACTGCAGTCATCTGCTAATGTTACACTGTTGACCCATGTGACTGATATTTGCTCCAGGGACATTCTGCTGGTTTATTTAATCTAGGAAACACCTGCTATATGAACTCAACAGTACAATGCTTGCATTCAGTCCCAGAGTTAAAGTCTGCTTTGATAAAGTGAGTTTTTGTGTTTTCTTGTAGGAACTCCTTTTTAAAGATTGATTGTGCTCTGTCATCTTAACCTCTTCAATATGCATTATCTTGGAAAATTAAGTTTTTTGTACATTTCTACTATCAGGTACCCTCGTCCAGTTAGAAGCAATGAAGTGGACCAGACTTCTCATTTATTGACTGTTGCAACACGAGATTTATTTAATGACCTTGACAAAAATGTCAAGCCGGTAGCACCAATGAGATTTTTGACGGTAATATTGGTTCAGCTTCTACATGATATTATTTTCTTTACTAGGTCACTTTCCTTAGTATATAGAATTCTAAGATTATTCTTGACTGGGATTCTAGGAATTGGCTTCTTACTAATGTAGAGAACTCTTTGAAATTACTGATATCTGTTGTTTGCTACGGTTCTTTTTATGTTAATGTCTTGTCTATCCCACTGCAAAATCCTAGAAAATATTGAGATTCTCTGACTGATGGAAAAGTCAAGTTGAAACGGGAAGATCCATCTGGTAGTAGAAATTGTCCAACAACACAAATGCAGATATTGGGATGATGCTACATCCGATCTAGACTTCTTACCAATGGAGAGTAGTTACTGGGAGAAGTTTTATGACTTCATCACATTCTATCTTTTCAAAGAAAAAGATTATTTATATTACTTAAGCCCCTGTTTGGCCCCCATTTTGTGGAAATGAAAATGAGTGAAATAGGCTTTTTTTTATAAATGAATGGTTGAAAAAGAAGCGAAAGTTTTCGATTTACACGTAATATTATTTTATGGAAGATTGTGTGGTTGAAAATACGAGAGAGAAAAATGAAATGTAATGAAATGAAATTTAATGGAGGTCAAATGGGGGCTAAGCATATAAATGCTTTATTGGATTAGATGTTGCACATGCTGGAGCATGCGCATTGATAAGTCAAAGGAAGAAAGTGTTTGGTTAACGTATACATTAACATCTTTATAGTGGGACATAAAGGGTGTTATTTAGTTCTTCCTGTGACTCGAGTGAACTGATTCTTGTCCACCAAAGCTATTTGGTACTTTTCATTGTGCCTTTGCCAATGACTGTACTGATAATCTTTAAAGTAGGAATCCCCACCCCTGCTTCCCCAGAAAAGCAAGACTCCTACACTTTCTTCTACAAGTATGTCGTTGCAAATTTTCAAAAGCCTAATTTGCCAGCATATTGCCATTTTTTCTGAAATTTGAAGTGAGCCCACTGCCTAAGCATATCTGGTTCCTGAATTTCATTTTCTAGGAATTGCGGAAGAAATATCCTCAATTTGCCCAGCTGCACAATGGAGTTTACATGCAGCAGGTATGCATATGTACCTCAGCGCTGATCACTCTGGTTGGCTCTATTTATTGTCTGTCAATGTATTGAATTTTTTTAACTAATGATAGGATGCTGAAGAATGTTGGACACAACTTATATACACCCTTTCACAATCTCTCAAATCTCCAAGTTCCAGGTAGTACTTATCATCCGTTATCTGAGTTAAAGATTGTCGTTGCTGAATGCCTCTGAGAGTTTAAAATTTTCTAAATGATTTTGGTTTTTAAATTACTCATTCTATTACTTGTGATACATTATTTTTCCTGGTTCCCACCCATTTCTTCTTGGCTGCTGTTTCTCTTCACATATGTGGTCTATGTTTCACTTATTTTTCTTTGTCACGTTCTTTTGCAGCGAAGATCCTGATGCCGTGAAGAGACTTTTCGGTATTGACCTAGTTAGCAGGTATTTCTGCAATTGAAGTTTTGTAAGCATTGTAGATCAGGAATTTTGAGACAAATTTTTCAACGCCCAAGTTCTAAGTCAGCTAAGAGAGTAGTTGGCATTTATTTGTTGAGTAGTTTCTGCAAAGTATATTTAAGCTTTAGTGATTTAGCACATGATCAATAAAAGTAGTGCACTCAGCTTGCTGTTTCTTATCGTTCTCTCATGTTGTTTCTTTTGTGCTCTTTCTTCTTGGTAACCTAATAAGAAATCATGTATAAAGCACTTCAGAATGGCACACTGATTGTATTGCATCTTTCATTTCTAACAACGGAAGCTCCTTTTAAATGTATCTGCACTGGAATAGCTCTGCAAAGCATCATTTTTTTATTTTTTGGGAGAAGTGAAGATCAATGCGTTACTGTAGAGCCTTGCATTGACTTCATACTGCATCTTCAATTTTTTCTTGCCACTTGCAGATTCATAATTCCATTAGGTGTGTTATACTAGCTCAAGTGTTTGGGGGTTTTGTGGTGTAAATCAGATCCTTACGTTTTGTGTCTCTTCAAATTAATATATTCTTTATTCTTGACAGTTCTGTAGAGTTTCAACTTCGGTTTTATGTTTTTTCATGATATAGTTAGGGTGGAACTAGATGAGCAGTTACTAAATAATTTGTGGTTGAGAAAGAAAATTATACTACTATTTAACAGCAAATGTATGGGGTCAACATGAGATATAATGTTGAAGAGTAAACTTATCACAGTGGCTACTTATAGGTTGGGGATATTAGCTAGAGAAGATATCATTAAGTGAAGTTTTTTATTAATCTTATATAGATTATGGAGACACAAATCAATGGGGTTGTGGAACTTGTTTGTGTGGGTGGACGCTTTTTAATTTGCTGCTTTATTTAGCAATTCATTAAATTGACCCCCAGTCTATCATAGATGACTATTTATGAAGTTTCAATTATTCCCTAAAATTTGACATTCTAGAAATCATGTCAACTATATGGTAAAAATGCATTATCACACTTAGCCCCTGTTTGGTGGGGATTAAAGTCAGATTTTTAGTAGATTTTGATAAAAGTTGATGGAATATGTGGTAAAAAAGTTGTGGACCCCATAAAATGTGTAGTTTTAATTAATTGTTGACTTTGACTTAGATTAAAATCTAGATAATCACAACAATGAAACTAGGGCTTAATTTGGTAAATTGCTAGCTTAATCTTTGGTTCTTTGTAATGACACCGTGATGAAGAACACAATATTTCTTGGGTTAGAATACCTTGCAGGCTATTAGAGTAACACTAACTAGTAAAATTTATTTTTGTCCATTTTATGACGTGGTTGACAAATTTCCACTATGAATTATTCATCCAGGGTCTGAAATCGGAATTGGAGAAGGCTTCTCCTTCTCTAGGGCGAAGTTCCTTGTACTTGAAGGATTCACGCATTAATGATTTGCCAAGGTATGAGCTACAGCACTACATTCCTCCCCTTTTCTGGTTCCCTTCGATTGTTCCTGTATCAGATGCTTTCATTGTATTTTATTGTGTCTTTGGCCCATTAAAAATGTGGCTATGTTTCTCTGGGCAGATGAAATGACTATTCTTTTATCTTTTGATGATAGATATTTGACTATTCAATTTGTACGTTTTTTCTGGAAAAGAGAATCAAATCAGAAGGCAAAAATTTTGCGGGTAAAATTTTATTTACACGTGTTGATTCTCTGCTGTCTTCTCCTAAACAGAATATGCACATGCATACATGCCTCCACATTAGAGCAATTTCATTTCTGTAGCAGTTAAAACCAGCCATTTTCTCTCTTAAAACTTGAAAATGTTTAAATTTTAAGTGGGGCATCAGTTTCCTGTTCACAAAATTTATAAAAATGTTTACTCCGCTAATATGTCTGCATGGTGCACAGAAAGTGGACTATCCTTTGGAGTTGGATGTCTATGATTTTTGCTCAGATGATCTTCGCAAGAGATTAGAAGTTCCTCGCCGGGTATAAGCTTTTGTGCATTTTGTTAATAAGAACCCAAGTTGCACACTTTTGTAATGTAATACCTCATCCAGACACCCCTGCAATTTTCTCATTTGACGATTCATTTTCAAACTTCCAACTTTAAGATTCTAAGAGACGAGGAGGGAAAGAAGCTTGGTCTAAAAACCAGTGATAAGAACTCTGGTTCAACGGACAATGATGTCAAGATGGCTGAGGCAGAGGTATGTGATTAATCTGATCATAGAACAACTGATAGGAAGAGATCCATTACCCTGTTCTGTCCTGCTTATGAAAAAACTGGATAAATTGATGTTACGAATTGTTCTTCGATTTGTTCAAGTGGGTAACTACAGTTCAATTTAATTCAATTTGGCAACTCCATCTTACTCTTGTCACTTGGACTGGCAAAAATCAATGACACATCAATCAATAAATCATGTATGTCATTTATTTAAATGAAGTTGTACTCAATTCACGTCAACAGCTAACGGTTCTGCGTGATTACCATCATTTATTGACTGTCACGCGTCAATTATCGTTAGTGGAAATCAAATTAAAGCGCGGTTACCAGTTGATATCATAGTAAAATACCATAAATTGAATTTGCCCATTTTTGTCTACTTGTGCAGGCATCATCAAATAGAAGTGGGAACTCGTCTAAATCTGAATCGGTTGAAGGTAATAGTCTATTTAAAGAACTCCATCTATAGTTTAGTTAAATAAAACATGTGGTTGATTAGGCTGAACCTCTGGGCTCTGGAAAACCTTGATAATTTACTGGTCAAACAAACCATTGGTAATGTAGTTCATAGCATATGAGAAATCTTTGCACTATTTCATTTTTAGATTTCCAGAAAACAACTGTAATAGAGAAGAAGGTTATCCACAGCTAAAAATCCTCAACTTGTGAAATTAGTAGTATTGTCTGCTGTTTAACTTGCTTTTGTGAAATGATTTCTGGAAGTTCTAGTGTTGTCTGCAATTTAACGTGCTTTTGAACAGATTTCTGGAAGTGTTTAGAATTTGTTTCCCTTCCTGTAGTTTGATGAGTTTAAACTTCATTTCAGATGCTCCCGAGAAAGAGAAGGCACTGACAGGAATATATGATTTGGTTGCTGTTCTGACACACAAGGGTAGAAGTGCTGATTCTGGACATTACGTTGCCTGGGTCAAGCAAGAAAATGGTTTGTCCATTAAAAGTTCTCTCCTAGTCTAATATTATCCATCGTGTTGGACTTGAGTTGCATTAATATCTGTGTTACAGGGAAATGGATTCAGTTTGATGATGATAATCCAATCCCACAGCGAGAAGACGACATTACAAGGCTTTCTGGAGGAGGTAAGGACGTAAATAAAATTAATTTCGATTCTCATATTTATGCCTCCAAAATTAAGAAATTCGCTGCTAATATCTGCTAGAATCGGTCAATCGTTGCTTGTGCTTAGCCCCCTGCCCCCACCCTGACTCTCTCCCTCTATCTCTCTCTCTCTCTCTCTCTCTCTCTCACACACACACACACACACAGAATTTAGGGTACATCTGGTAGCATTGACAGGGCTCTTTAACAATCCACTTTTCTGAACAGAAGGTTTCTGAGACGAATGCATATTTTCTTTCAGGTGATTGGCATATGGCTTACATTTGCATGTACAAAGCTCGCGTTGTTCCCATGTAATCTCTTCTTTAGTTCTATTAATCCATTTGTTGTCTACGTCACATTATCTATTCGTGTTTTTTCCAACTAAATGAAGGCTTCTTGGCATGTTTGTTCAGCTATTTGAGGCATATTGACATGTGGTCTTATCTTTTTCTTCAAGCATGTTTAGCACTCTTTCATTTCTGTGGTCATGTATTATGAATTTGTGAAGCTTTATGTGTGTTGGCTGCAAAAGTAGTGGCTCCAGAAGAAACAATAAAAGGTGTGTGACTTAATTGATCTACTACAATAAAGTCCAAGGAAATTTTTGTAATTTCAAAACCTTAATTGAGCATTATGCATATTTCTATCAAATTTAAGGTTAGCCACATTTCGTTTTCCCAAAAGGGAATACACCTAGAGGAGAACAAGGGAGATGATCTAAAGAAGGAATCATTTGATTAGGCCATTAAAAGCTCCTTCTAAGGTTGCCATCTTCCGTATCTAAGTATGAGTATTTTATAATCCAATGATCTCAAGCTTACCAAAAACCTTTATTATCATGATTTTAATCTTCAATGAAAAATTATTAAATCCTAGTGTAAAATGCATTTTTAGTTGGGTGGTTTTAGATTATTTATTTTTGACATGTTTATGCTTTAAATGTTTAAAGTTATTGTTGATATATTTACAATCACGTTTTGTAACACCCCAAATTCTCGTAACCAAAGCGTTAAAAATAATCGATCTTTCTTTGGTTCGACCCCTTTGATGTTAACCAAAGTAATTTGTAAATTAGAAAGTTTTTGGGTTTTGAAAACATATAAAAATATAATGGAAAGTAGTTATTCATATAAACTTATAAAATTATGGTGAAATTTGGTTTTAGAAAACATTTTGAGGTGATTCAGCAATTACGGATTGAACAACAGCGGAAGAAAAATATATTTTGCCTAGTAAATGTCTATTAAAAATTATGAAATTTTTACAGGGACTAAAGCATTCATATATGTACCACATATAAAAATTTGGGGTTTTGACGATAACGTTCGAAGCACGAAAATATTACTCAAATATGCTAGACAGGAATCTCGGATTCGACACGATGCAGTTTACTAAAACGGGCATAACTTTTCTTTTAGTTAATATTTTTGAGAAATTCCAAAGGCCACTATTAGAAGACTCATAGACCTTTCAAACCCCACCGATTTCACCTTAAAATGTGCACCATATCCCTAATTATACCATTTTCAAATAGGAGGACAGAATCTGAAATTTTAACCCAGCGTAAATTTGAACTTCATACATATTTAATCCAACACTTCTAAATTCTAATTAACATGCATTGTCTATAAAACTAGATAAAATAAACATTAAAAGCATTTTAAAAGTGTCACCTAAGTATCCATAAAATGTTTACATAAATGGAAATCTTTACTAGAAGTTGAAAGCATTTGAAATCGCCGAACACTTGCCACTATACCAACCACTGCCATGCCTCGATCTTAACCTGTAAAATTATTTGTAGGGATGAGTACTATAAATAATACTCAGTAGGAAGCAATTATGTAAATGGTAAAAATATATATTTTCAGTATTGCAAACTTTATTCAATTGTGTCACCGTTAATTTCAAGCCGCGATCAGTCAACTAGCTTACTTTTAGGTTTTAATAACCCCATTTCATTTATCATAATAATCTCTTCATATCTTAACGGTGATTCCATCATGAGTAACACAATAAGAAGTTTAACGCAAACGAAAACGAAAACATATAAATCTTACATCACTTACAAAAGCGCCGAAACACCCCTACCTTAATGCTTGAAGTTTGAATATCCTTTCGTGTCCAAAGAAATACTTTTAGCGTCCTCTTTTAAGAATTTTCAGATTTAAAGGTTCTTTAATCTATGGAAAAGGACAAAATAAATCGGGAGAGAAACCGTGGCTAAAGGAGTTTAAATTTGAGTTATCGAATTTATCTTATGGCCTTTAAAATGAAAAGGGATAGTTATTACTTTCTCATTCCAAATGCAGTGGCGGGCAATGTATTTTAAAACGGAAGTTGCAAAGGAATAATGTAAGTGGTAGTTATGCATAATATTTTAAATGTAAATCTCCAATGGATGGCAGGGACATGCAAGTTAACTTCCCAATTCAATAGCAAATTAAAAAAAATGGCGGTTAGACTTTTGAAATGTCTTCAAATGGTTGAACAGTACGTGTCATTTAACTTCCAATATACAATGGCAATTTTATATGTATACATCTTTTGGGAAGTTAACAAATAAAAATGGAGTTACAAAAGATAATAAAGTGGGGGTTATGGCTCTGAAATGTTAATTTTCAATGGACGAACATGACACGTAACTATTTTTTTATTTATATAAATATATATCTTTTGATAGTTAACAACAAATAAAATGGAAGTTAATATAGTAAGTGGGGTAGTTAATGGATAAAATTGGAGTTGTAATTTTATTTTCAAATGAATGATCAGGGACGGTTTTGGCATTGACAAAAATGAAAGTTTATTAAAATGGTAAGTTGGAGTATGAATGATGGATGATGAAACATGCAAGTAAATTGTCCAATTTAAAAAAAAAAAGAAAGAAAAAAGAGAGTAGTTTACATAATGGAAACCAAAATGGTAGTATTAAAATAGTTTGTCGCAAGAAAAATAATGTAACCAAATTAACATAAATTTTTTTTCGTTTAAAAGCGATTTTAACACCTTGCAAAATTTAAGAAAATCAAGTACACGAAATTTTATTTTCGTGACCGAAGTTTAATTTGAACTATTAGGAAGTGTCGTAAGAAAAATAATGTAACTAAATTAACATATATGTTGTCGTTTAAAAGCAATTTTAACACTTTGCAAAATTTAAGAAAATCATGTAAGCGAAATTTCATTTTCGTGACCAAAATTTAATTTGGACTATTAGGAAGTGTTGTAAGAAAAATAATGTAACCAAATTAACATAAATTTTGTCGTTTAAAAGCGATTTTAACACCTTGCAAAATTTAAAAAAATCAAGTACACGAAATTTTACTTTCGTGACCAAAGTTTAATTTGGACTATTAGGAAGTGTTGTAGCGACATAATAATATAACCCAGATTATATTTGAGTCCCATAAGAAAATATTATTTTGAAACGAAACAAAACATTTTTTTCCCCGTCGCTACAAAATAAGGGCTAGATATCGAACAAAAATATATGACAAAAGATTCTAAACAAGAAAACATTATGCTACCCAAGTAAATAAACTTGACGCCTCCCAGTTGGCAGCAACTCCTTATTCCAAGAAAATTTCTTGTAAAATGCTACATGTAACTTGAAACTAGGTAAACTACTAGAATCGCACTCTTTCCCATCTTTCTTCCTGGGGCGAGGTAAAAAATATAAGTAATTGAGGCTGAAGCAGAAAAGGCTGAGCGATGGAAGAATGCGAGCCAGGCAGACGGTTATGAAGACAAGATCCAAGAACAGCCACTTCATGTGCTTATAGATTTACGAGGCACTTGGGTATGTGAAATGGGACAGCCTCCATTTGGTCGCAGAAGAAACACCGTCCAATAGGCAATCCAAAAATGTCGACTGGGTTTTCCAGTACTGCTACTTATGCGTAATACATGTACAAGCTGTTAGCAGCAGCACATGCAATTGAGTTTTCGGTTGGGTGCCATGCCATGTGGAGCAGTTTTGTGGTGAAATCAAATGAATTCCCATTGGCATCAACTCCGGGACTTTCTGCACCTGTAACCGTTTTCGATCTTTCTTTAGGGTTAAGAGGGGAGAACAAATAAATGGGGTTTAAATACACTTGCGGTGACTAGACTTTGAGGCGACAATTCGTGTTGGTCACTAAACATCTTCTTCTTCTGAGTTGATCGCTGAACTTAATCCTTGTTTGAAGTTGGTCATTCAACTTAAAGATTTGTTACATTAGCACATTCTGTACAAGTACACTAGTTTGAGCAACAAAAAGGCTGACACGGCAGTTGAGTTGGGAAAAAAAAGAGGACTGCTGTGTCACCTTTTTCGTTTGTGAAACTAATGGACATAGATGGAGTAATCAGTGTGTACTAAAGTTTTAAGTTCAATAACCAACCTGCGAAAATGACATCAGTGTACTCAACCCCACTCAGATGTCATCAATAAGAGATAAAGCATATACCTCGCCTCACCACACGAGCGATGCTGCTGCTCAAGGATCTTGAAGGCCTTGAAGGTGTCTGGACTTGTCTGAAGGATCACAATGAATTTTTTCTTAAACAATTAAGATGCAATCAATCTATGACCAATTTACAAAAAGGTCATCGATAAAAATACCTCATAGGATTTTTGCTTGCCTCCAGTGTGGTTGCTTCAGTGCTACCCGCAGCATGCCCAAACACCCGGAAAAGATTGCTAAGATCAAGCGCATCTTTGTCAAAGATCATAATTGCCTAAAAGCTGGTGAAACTCTATTTTTATCCACATATTCCATAAGAATCACAATTTTTACGTAGTTTTTTAACAACACATTCCTTCAACCCACTTTGTTATAAGCAATTATAAGCTTTGACACTCATGCACTAAATGTTTTGTCAGATGCAAAAAATTCTAAACAGATGTGATACGACTGAAAAGAGAGACTTGAACATACCTGTAAGAACCAGTTGCTACTCTTAGACCATCACCACTCAGGCAACACTCAAATTTGTCAAAAATGGAATCATTCTCGTACAAGTCGCATAGCTGGATAATTATCAAATTTTAATCTAATATCAGCTCAATTAAACAACCTTTGCACCAAAATGCCGAAAAAAATTTCTTGGAAAAGGGTAGTTCACCTTGGGTCTTAAATGCTCGTGAACCTCAAACGTAGCTACTGGTCTAGAATCCATATTAATGTCCCATAACTGAAACCATTTAAGCATCAGTGACGGAACAAAATTACGATTCAGAAAATTAAATACTACATAAGCCAATCATGCAAATAACTATGCATCTTGTTAAGCACATAATAGATAACAGGAACCTTCTACGGTCAGCAAGATATAGTCAAACAGGTGATTATGATGAATTATTTCTCATTGCTAAAGCCACCCTCCTTCAAACATATAGAGCTTTAAGATGAAACTTACGTGCCTAAATATAAGCAACTTCCATCAGTTTGTCCTTATTCCTGATAAATGCATATAAAATGCCCCCAGTTATATACTTGACAGAGCAGAACCCACAATCAAGATACATCCAGGCAACAAACCATAACAGAGCGACCGATTACACTAATGAACACACACACACACACACACAGCTTGGAATGAGTAAATAATTACAGAAGATAAACCTTAAGGGTCATGTAGTCACGACTAAGTAGATATCTCCCATCCTTCGCAAACTTAATATCTGAAATTGAAGCTATTATCTCGGTGAAAAATGACCTTGAACCAGCTGACTCCAGTTCCTCAAAGCTGTACATAAATAGAAGATCATTACGTAATAAATACGAGCATTTGATAGCAGTATGGAGGAACCTACGGCACAATGATTAACTTCCAATGCAGTACAAAATTTACACAATTTGTTTCATCATAAGCAGAAAATAAAGCAGTACTGAAGCACTTACAGTTTAGAATGTGAATCTACCAAGGCTGATTGCCGCAGATCAACTAGACGAATTGATCCTTTTGAACTACTATATGCTAACATGTTACAATGAGTAGGATGAAACTCTGCAGATGTTATGACCTCTGCAATAAGAAATAAGTTGGTCAAGTGAACAAAATGATCTTCCAGTTTACTTGGGTCGTTCTTGAAACTTTAATCAAAATATGAGTGAGTTGTTTACAAAACTAATATCTCGTGAAGAAGGAATAGCAAGATCCATGATGTGAATATGTTCAAGCCACATCCTTTTTTATTCTGCTTGTTACTGCTCAAAGGAAAAACCAGCACTGTACCTACAATCTAGTCCATATGCAGCCTTTATTTCTCCTATAGAATTTAGGACCCTCTGGATGCATTAACCTCAGGGTTTCTAAGATAGGACTCATTTCCCCAATCCCCCGTAATCCCCTCCTCTTCAACAAGGGTTTTTTTTCATCACCTGTATCTTTTGCTCTTTTGCAAAGACTTTACCACCAAAAGGTTGGTAGCGATACGAAATTCAGTCCTTGTATGGATACCATTTATAAATTGATTTTAATTGGTAAAATCACTTCTTATCCACATATTTCGTTGGATCCATAAGTACTATCCACTACTCATTTCCTATCTATTTATATCCTAACCCCCTTGGGGAAAATATGAGGAGAGGAACGATACACCCCTTACTCTATTTCCTTTTAGATGATTCCTGTGAAGCTGATTCAGATTCCATAGCTGAATTCTCATTGAACAGTGAAGAAAAGGCAAGATAAAACGTTAAGACCTGCCCTTAATTGAGCTTAATTTCCAACGAGAGCAAAAGAACTTACCAGTTAGATCTTCCATATTTGCTGGCTTCACGTCAACGATGTTGAAACTTTGATTGCTTATTTCTAAGTTCCAAAGATTTATTCGCAGATCATCAGCTGATATAAATGTTTCACCATCACTGGAAATCATTGTAGTCAGAGATAAAACAGAGAACATCCAAACAAATCATAACACAAAAGAAAAGATCATTGGACAACTATTTTTTTTTTTAATAATGTGTTACAAGCATTTCTTTACTGCTATCTACGGATTGTTCTCTGAGCAAATCAAGCCATATAAACGTAATAAATTACACCACCTCATCTCAAATGTCTGTGCACACCTGACTCCAGGATCACAGTTCCCCTGTTTCCCAACCACATATGATGAACCTATCCGCCTAATATTGGACCCAAAAGATAATATTTTCGATCTATGAAATTTTTTATACGAAAACTATATCATATACATTAATTATTTACTTGCACTTTTCCCTATTTTTTTGGCTGAAGGATGTCAAAATAGAGGGGAGGAATTAATAGCACCACTCAACAGTCAAAGCTCAGTAAGAGCATTATGTTGAAAGAAAATGAAATTACAAATTGGTAGGCTGCAATCATTAACAATTGGGAAAAATTCTCACCTATTGTTGGAAATGGAATTGATGTGATAGTCATGTGCATGGGCATATAGTCTCCTACATCTCGCAACAAGATTGGTCTCAAAGCTTGTAACCTACAGATCATCCTCCAGTGTTACAAAGATGCCAATTGTATACAAAGACAATGGAAATACGCTGCATTAAGCAACAGTAAACTTGAAACCTGAACGTGTTTACATCCTGTGAATTCTTAAAAAAGCTTTCAGATTGATGAAAGGACACTCGAAAACTAAGTTGTGTAATAAATTTATATATGCATAAAAATGGCTTAAATTTTCTAAGTAATTATAAATTTCAGCCAAGATCGAGTTCCTATAACACAATGTGTCTAAGAGGTAGTAAAAAAATATATAAAAATAAATCTCAGACAAAAGCATGCATATGTATCTCCTGTTGATATATAACACATAAAAGAAGGATAGATACCATAGACATCGTTACTAATGCAAGCAAAAAATATAGCTTAGTAAAAGTATAACTACCACCGATAATTTGAGTGAGGAGATGCCACCAGGTGGAAATGACGTTTCCTTGGTCAAAGAATTGTAAGATCGATCTGGACATCCTCCATTAGCAAGATTCTGCTTAGGACCGGGAGAAACACTTGAACTGGCAATACTGCCGTTTCCAGCAGATATGGAAGGCTCTACATTCATTTCAGAAATTTTCTTAACTTTTTTCTCTTGGACCTGTTAAAATCAAAACACAAGAATTAGAATCATCACGTAACTTAACTGAAACAGTTACAAACAACAAAAAGCAACAAACTGAAACTGAGGATTCACTTTAAAATTGGGAAAAGGGAGATAGCAAGTGATATAAAACCTTAATTGACAGAAGATTGATCGTAGAACATAAAAATTTGCAACACCATAATAGTGTGCCTTCCATTCGGAATTTGGCTTTAAAAAAACATATCAAGTCTTGCCTATAAAGTACAATGAGAAAAAAGAAAACCTCCTGATACTAATCATATCTGCAACTGAATACATTCTAAGACCAACAGCATTTGCTAGATATATGAAAATTTAGACTGCGCTTACTACTAACAGAAGAAAACCAAGGACATTGCCTTGAAAGTAAAATCACTGATCTTAATATACACAGAGACCAGAGAGAACAAAACATTTATCAGGTAATAACCACAATCTTAAATAATAACCTGAAAAAGGGACTGCAGAGAGACAATAAAAGAAAAGGGAAATAATAAAATCAAATACCAAGATCAGATGCAATAAGAACTAAGAGAATCTAATCACTTTTGCTCAATCTAAATCTTCCATTTTACTAGCATGAATATGATGCACTAGAAAATCTAAAATATAAACCTTTCCAAGCCACAAACAAGAATAATGACGAAAAAAGAAGCAAGCCAGACGTGTCACCTTCCAAAACTTTATGGTTTTGTCATTAGTAGACAGAAGAAAGAGCGCATTATTAGCTGTCTGGCACCACCTTATCTTATTGATTTTCTCCTCAATTTCCAAACTCTTGAGATAATCAAACTACACAAAGATGTAGATGCATACGAAATTAGAAATGACACTCTATTTGCAGGTTTGGCGGCGGAAAAAGAAGAAAGATCATTGGAGGTGCCTTTTGAGTTAGCCACCCATTTACAAATGAAAAATTTGCTGTAAAACTTCAAAAGTGGAAAGTTGCATTTATCATGTCTCATAGGTGGCACGTGGAAAGAAGACAAGATGATTCAACAAATAAATAAGTACCTCGGGTTCATGGCTCTGAAATTCAGTTTTGTAGTGAAACTCAGGATGCCGACTCACAGCATAGTCTTTCTTTTCTAAACCTTTTCGATTTCCACCATGCTGCAAATTGAAATAGCAACAGGAAAATGATATGGCATGAATTGGCTACATTTTTTATACATACATTTGACTTGAAGAAACTGACCTCTTTCATATCAGTCCTATCAAATAACACCACCCTTCCCCCACGGTCACCAGTAGCAAGATGGTCACCAGATTTATCAAACTCAATCGCCGATATAATATCGACTGCAAAATTAAAAAATAAATAAAGAGATTAGAAAATATCAATTCCATGTTTCAAATCCTAAAATTTATACTGATACGTTATAATCTCTGAATCTATTTGTTCGTTGGCACCCACACAAAAATGACCAAAAATAGGCAGCAAAGATCTTCAATACGCAAATGATTTGAAAATAAAATACAGTAGAATTTATGACATGAACAAATTGTGTTTTAATACTGACCCACATACACCTTTCTCTGTTTGGAATTTTTTTATGCCATATGACACATTGAAAGTAACATGGCATGCCACATAACGACTAAGACATGATAATGCTTTCTCACAAAATAAATTTTCTTCAGCATCAAATTCAGCGCAAGCGTTCAAATCTTATTGTAACTTGAATTATTGGCTTGACCAAACTTGTATCAAAGTTCCTAGAAGTAACCATCATTTAGTGTTGTAAATACATCATCACAGTTAGCATTAACCATAGCACTTGGTTGCATATTTCGATTTTACACTGAAAAATAGTTCACAAATACACGGCTTGTAAAATAACCAAACAGGAGTAAAGCACAAAAAACTTGACCAAAGCACTCATCCAGCAAAAAAATTGCTACCTTGGATTGAATTAGCAAAACACTTTTTACATTTGGGGGTCCTCAACAAATGGCAATTCAAACAGAAAAGAAAATTTAGTAAAGATACGCACTTAGGGTTTAGTGTTCTATCTTCATAATCCAAAATTTAGCTTATGCTAGACATTGGAATAAAAGCAGTAGTGAACCCGTCTAACTGCTCTCCAACCAGAAGGCTTCCCAATAACTTCAATATTAATATCTTGTATATCCCTACAATATACTCTTCCATAAACCCACCTCACAGGTCTACTTCTGTAGCTAACTAATAATTGAAATTTTATGGCAGGCGTGCCATAAATCCATCTCAAAGGTAAAATTCCAACCAAACAAGCTCCTAAACTAACACTCATCTCGATGACACTGCTGTGGAAATAACCACTACGAGTATTATGATCACAAGAATCCCAGCTCTAACTCCTCGATCAGGATAATAATTTGTACTCCCCCACGTAGGACACTAAAGAAAAGTGGACAAAACAGAAGTGCATGGCTGAGAGCTTATTTGATGGCACATCAAGGTGTAATGATTACTTGATTCAATGAATACAACAAGCTTGCAAACTAATATAACACAACTCGAGCAAATGGCATATTGAATCTTTCCACAGTTTATCCTTTGAACTATTCTGCCTACATTTGGAAACTTCTGGCTGTTTCAATTAAGACATGATCACGAGTTTTTTTCAAGTTCCAGAATATCATACGACATGTCTCACAACCAAAAACAGCTTTGACCAAAACCACAGAATGAAGTTCAAGCAGCTTTATCCCAAAATATGAAAAGGAATATTCAGATATGTATGGTGCTAAACAATATATCAAAATGTCAAAATGAAAACCACAAGCCTGCATGATGAAGCTTGGTACTACAAATTTTCTGTGGAGACATGTGGGCCTCACAAGTTCAAACCTAAATGTGGCTCATAGGATACATATTAAGACTTGTACCTAAATTGCAACATGCAGAAAATAAACAACAAGAAGCTAGCTATCAATTTGGTGCGAATCAAAATTTGATGTGTTCATTTCAAGTCACAAAGCTGCATCATTTTAATCACTTCCAGAGAAGAACAATAAGTTCTCATTTCCAGCAGGGCAATTACAGAATAAAAAATGATCGCATAAAAGAACTTCTTACACAATAAGATGCATGCAGTTAGAAAAGGCGGAATCGAGCTAAGAGATAGGTCCCAGGGAATTTCTTCCCCAAGCCATGTTGGATATTGGTTAAATAAATTGAGAATTGAAAATCGATTAAAGTTCGTATCGAATTCGGCCACACCCTCAAAAGCTCGACTCAATCCGTTGTTAAATAAATTGAGAATTGAAAATCGATTAAAGTTCGTATCGAATTCGGCCAAATACTCAAAAGCTCGACTCAATCCGTTTAGGCAAAATTGTTTGCCACTTCGCCGCTTCGGGGCGCACAAACGGGGATCGACCTGCCCGGTCAGGTCGCGAGGGTCGAGGGGGCAGCGCCCCTCGTGGGGGGTCGGGGGCAACGCCCCCGAAAGAGAATTTTGATTTCTCTGCATGTATTGAAGGGTATATTTGGCATTTCGAAAACCAATATCGGATGAATGAGAAATTACGAAAAAGACCTCAACCATTAGTGAATAGACACCTTTTCATAAATATGCATTGTTTGGAAATGGTGCATGGTTTGGTCTCAACCATTTCGTCCACACCCCTTCATGGTCTATAAATAGGACCCTTTGGGTGTCCTATTCCTCACAGTTTGATATGCAAAACGTTTCTCATCCTCTCTTCTATCCAAAATCAAAATCATTTCGTTTATTTTGATTTTCTTTCATTTCATTCTTGGAGTACATAAGCCTAAATTGGTTCGTTGTACTTGTGTTTTGGAGTGCTACAAACACAAGTGTAGCCGTTGTATCTTGGGAGTCGATTGCCGAAATCCGTAGGCACCGTTGCGGGGCAAATTCGACTTAAGGACAAAGAGTCCAACTCTTGCCTCGGCTTTGTCACCATCATTATACTTATTTCAGCGTCACTATTCACAAAATTCATCCAACAAGCCATTCATTAAATTGACATGCAGATCGCATACTCAAATCCACAACCTAAATTCGATTTCTTTAATGCCCACCGGCACTGAGCCAGGCGTAGGAACCATTATCTCCATATCATGTTTACTTCGCCAATTAACAATACAAAAACAGATCAAATACAAACAAACAAACCCTAATTACAAGATCCACCCAAACCACACAATTCCAGAATGGACTTTTTACCTTCTTGTACTTCTTCACCAGTCGCGCGTTCCCCGAAGACCTGTGAGAATTTCCACTCGAGCGGCAGCGGTGCACCAGACGACGCTGCCGCAACATCTCCACCATCACCACGATTCATCATTCCCACCCTTTCTTAACTATTACCAGTCGGCAATCGAAAACCAACTGATAAAGAATAATCAATTTTTTAAAAAAATATACAATTTTTCAATTTTCAGTTCATTAAACCGAAAAAATAAAAGTTCGATTTTTCCTAAAGAAAAAAGGCAATCAGGTATCTGGGTTTGGGTATAGGGTTAAGAATAGGCTGGCCCGTCAGAAGAAGTGAAAGATCGGAACAGTAAATTCATGAAAATTGTTTGATTCAGATTCAACCATTGTCAGTACATATAAATATGTAATGTACATTACATCTCTTACTACAAAAAATGAATCTTTAGATTTTCTCCATATATACATACAAAATTAATACAAATGAATATCAAATTATCTATCCATTCTTTTCTTTATTTTATTATCCATTATTTTTCATCTGAAAGGAACCCAAAAGCACTGTTCTCTCTCCTCTCCTCTCCTCTATTCAGAATACTACGCCCGAAACTCACCCGCCCTTGGCCCCCCATTAGTAATAGGAAAGGATATTGGTACGGAGGATCTCTTGTGCAGAGAAGTGTTCAGACGGTTGGGAAATTTGTGATTCAATTGAGGCATAACTTGCGATTTACTCTCTCCAAAGTTCTAGGGACAAGGGTATTGGGGGGTCCAAGATTTATTCTAGCGTAAGTTGGGATGCCTAGATATAAAAAAAAAAAAAAAAAAAAAAAAAAAAGAAAAAGATTACACGATTAATCATCAACTATTGCCTTAATTGCAACTTAGTCCTCATCTTATATGCTGGTATAATAAAAATGTCAATATAAATCGAATTTTGCTAATTGTATAATCAACATCGGTTGACAACCTTCTCACAGAAGTGGGTCCACAATTTTTTTATTCATCATGACCCCTTCCCATGTGTGTGGTTTGTAATTCCTATCGTACATATAACATAACTAATATAAATAACTAATTATGCAGCTATAATAAAATACTAGCAATCATCATCTTCAACCTTTAAACTTTGTATCAATTTTGCCCCAATATTTTTTATATGACAATCTGAAACTCAACTATTCAATTGCATCATTTTTACTTAATAAAATGCAATTTTGTGTGCATATTGAACTGTCTAGTTTTCAAGAGAGGTGCTAAAAACTTGAAGCATGTCTAGCTAAGTGACATAAAAAAAATAATAATAATAAATAAATAAAGTGCTACTTTTTTTCCACTTTACAACGACTAATTCTGAAGTTGACGATCAAACCCCTCTTCACGCAAAACTACTTTTTAGTACTTAACATGTACAACATCTAGACAACTTTGCTTGCTTGCTTTTAAATAATAACACTCTTATGAAAGTTAGGTTAGAAGTTATTTGACAAAGTTTAATATAATTCAAACTAGTCAAACATTGTTTTTATTCGCTGAGCCCATAAGCATTACCTGAACAAATTTAATTGTCAAGGAAAGTAAATTTATTATTCCTATCTTTCACCATTAGATTATTAATTGAATAGTATAAATTACAAGAGAAATTTGATGGCATTGCTCAATATGAGGATACAAAAGTTTGGTTTATGCTCTATGAGCATAGAAAACTAAAGGCTTAAAGCATTAAATAACATAGAATATTGAATTACAATATAATCTCTAGGCAGCAATGGACCCTGTTTCCATTTGATGTTGGGCACCCGAAATGTCCTTTCAAGGGGCTTCTGAGTTAGGCCTTCCTCATTTTGGATCTTGCATATCTGAATAGCAAAAATATGGCTTATCACTTCAGTTCCACAGTAGAGACACCAATAATAAATAAGCCGGGGAAAGAAGCAAAAAAAAATTAATTATCCAGGATAATCAATTATAAAGTCCCTTGTTATTGTAAATAAAAGAGGTCTATTCATTTGTGCACATACATATTAGTGTAATACAAGAATATAATACGAGAAACAAAAGATTCTTATATGTTATATTTGCTGTGTTCCAAAATTAATGTGAAAGGAAGGATCAATTACTAAATGGCATTCTCTATTTAACTTAATATTTGATAATACAAATTCATAAAAACACATCAAAATTTCAATAGTATGACAAACAATAACAGTTTCATCTAACAGTTAATGCTATAAAAGAACATTTCTCAGAATGATAGTAACTGTTGGGTATTGTAATAATAATTTCAATTTGGAACGAAGATGATTTTCTACGAAATGTGATTAAAGATCAAAGAATAAAGATTATTAAAAAAAAACTCAGTGTAAAATGTTGAGCAATAGGAGATTACTCTATATGCATGCCACCCCGGTCAGATGATGGCAGTGAGATTCCTTGAAGTGCATTCATGGCCGCAGTCGCTTGTTCAATTCCCTGACAGAAGGAAAAATACATCTCGTGTTTTTTAGTTTCAAATCATGATGAAAATTATAACTTGATCAACAAATGGTCAGGTAGGAGCTTAACAATAAGAAAATACCTCAAAATCAGCAAATGCCACTGGCATTCCACCTCTAGCCCGCAACTTGAGGATGTTAAATCCTGGGTATCTGGAACCAGCAGGAATGTATATCAGCAACTTTTTAATTTACAAATATGGGCAAAAGAGATCCTTTTGCATTTGCTAAGGAGAAAGCAACTAACAAAACCGTCAACTGTAGGTTTTTTCCTATGACAATGAAGAAGGCTTCCCCATTTATCAAGTGTTCAGCAATTTTTTCCTCTTTTTAATCATTTCTCGTGAATGGAAAACCAAGTCCAATGTCAGTATTTCAGGGGCAACTTACTGAGAAATAACTTGCTTCAATTCGTCTTGAGTGCAATTTGGACCTAGGTTTGCGATGAACAGAGTAGAACATGCGCCATCTGCAGTTTTTTCCAGTTGCTCCTATAACAACCATTGGGACATACAACTGAATCAAGCTTTCATAAACAAAAAACTACAATTTGCACTTAAAGAAAACTGCTCTCATCTATCAAATAAATGTTACTCGTACTAAAAGTTACCCGACAAACAAAAGAGGCATGGGGAATCAGTGAGTAGTAAAGCATAATGGCCCATTAAAAGAGGAAAAATGTAAAAATTCATGGAATTCACTTGACATTTACAATGGCTAGGATCAACAATTATACACGAAAGTGTAAACTATTGTTCCAAACACACGACCAAAAATTGAAATCACAAGCAGATGTATGGAGTTCAATCTGGAAATTTCCAATTAGTTCATTGGGGAAGTTTATAGAATTAGTCCATGCATGCAGTCTATAATCATGTCACATATCTCAAATTATTGTGTTAAAAAAAAAAAAAAAAAGTATAAGGTTATTGCACATCACTCTATAATGCTTTTCGATAACTATGCTGATGAGTGATGACAGACTTAAACTGCACTCAATATGCACCATACACATTAACAAATAGAAAACAAAATTAATATCCATTTTTACTTACATTTTCTGGAGCAGAAGCATTGTTACCATCAGCTGCTTTCCCCAAGCTGTCAAATATAAAACAAAAATATCAGACCTAAACAATGGATTAAGCAGCCAAAGGTTCGGGATTATCTATTCAAATGCCCCAAATACTGGGAAAAGCAAGAGAAAAAAGAATTAGGTTTTACAGTGACCGGCTAGTCTATGTTCTAAACACACTCAACCTTTTCTCTGTTGCTGAATCATCTTGGTTTCCAGAGTCATGATTCCCAGGTGGATCATCAGAATCACTATCTCCTGAAGCTTCAAAATGAGAATTATTGTGTCATTAATTATGAGAACACAGTATTGCATATCTTTTCCTCTAGCAATGCTTAATTAAAAAACTGTGCAACGAACAGAAAACTAACTCGACACAATCAACAAGCACAAAACAAAAATAAAAAAAATAAAAAAGTCAGCCAATCTCTTGTTTTCTTGATCAATTGAATTTAAAAACATTTCCTCTCTCCCTTTATTCCTCTTTCTCTCTACTTCTCCCATCAGGGGGTGCTGGGATGTTTGAAAGTAGAGAAAAAATGGGAAGGAGGCACTACAGCAAATGGTAAGAATGAATAGTACATGTACATGCATTAATCTTTTTCCAAATATAACTGATTACCATCATCACCTGACGATTCCCTATCATCAGTTGCAGATTTAGTCCTATTATCAATAACCACATACGGTCCACTTCCTGCAAACAGCATTGGTCATAAACCATCTCCCAACAGGGCACAGAATATGGAATGTTAACACTGATAAAATGACACTCTACTGTCTACCTGGTTTATTTTTTCTTCTTGAATTTGATCTTGCAAGTTCGATGTGCAAAGTGGATCCAGTTTGAGGGTCAAATTTAACACCCTGTAAAACAGTCATTCCAGAAAGATTGATTGACAATTGAGAAAATAAAAAAATATTGCTAAAACATGTTATCCTTGTACTGTGCAGAACACTAATGATGTGTTGTAGGAAGAATTAGATAGTAACCGAAAATACTAAACAAGATGAAGAAGTAAAAACATGGAACTTTATACAGTCTAGTCTGTCCAATCCTGCATGCCTAATGCAACAAATGATTGGAAAATTGGAAAAATTTATAAATATCAAGAAAGGGATTCTTCCTTTTACCAATTCTGATGGCATAAGCTTCAAATTAAGTGATACAAACGTACGACAATAAGATACAAGGTATATGCTTTAGCAATTTACACAGAGCTGAGGAAACCAACATTGTAGAACGAGGGCTAAAACTAACTGAAGATCCATTTTAATAATAACTCACATTTAATGAATGTAGAGCTGCCATTGCTGATTGATGATTTGCAAAAGTCGCAAATGCAACAACCTGCCAATAACAAAACCACAATACGCTACAATTTCAACAAAATGAACACATTCAAAAGTTCTGTTGTAGTCACAATAAGAGTACTGTAAACAAGATAAAAAAATTTACAACTTCATTGCACAAAATCTTCCTATCAATCAATCCATTTTGGTACATTAATTTCGTCAGTAGAGCCATCACATCAATCATGCCAGTTATGGTAAAATGAACCTTTAAATTTTAAATATAACTACAAAGTCTTCCAGTAGAAGAATCACTATTCTTCAGCACCTCATAAAATAAAATAAAATAATGAAAATGCAAGAAAAAATTCTCTAATTTTCCATTTTTTGCAGCAATGAATTGCCTTTTTTTCATAAAATTTCCTGTGACCTGGTTTCCACGGCCGGTATACTTGAGCTGGCAGTTCTCAAAACCAGGTCGCCGGCGGAAGAGGTTGTGAATCTCACGAGCCTTGATGTCGTCGGGAAGGCCGGACACAAAAAGCGTATTGATTCCATTGCCATCGTTGCTGTAGACGAACTCCGGTTGGGCTAGGTAGTAGGGGTCATATGGCGGCGGGAGAGCCATCGGAAAAGGAGGGTTTAGAGTATCAGTACATTACTGACGGACAAAAGACGCTGAGATAGGCGGAGTAATCGATGCGGTGGGGAGTCTGGGGTTTTGCAGCGCCAATTTCAGCCCAACAAAAAATTATTTTATAAATTATTGCTCCTCCATAGAAATTTAAAAAGTTATTAGTTGCTAACTTAGAGCCGTTTAGTACACATTAATGTAAAAATAAAAATGAAAAGTATAATCATTATGAATCTCACACGAAAGATAGAAATTCAAATTTGGTGATTTGATGTAATTGATAACGATTGTATTTTTCATTTTAATGAAGAAAAAAATGAGAAACAAACAGGGTTTAAATTTAAACAAAGTTATCCATCATTCAATCATTCATATTATTTCCATCAGTGTTATTTATAACAAAATTCAATGAGCAAAGAGTTACTTTTTTCAAATTTGAATGAATAACGAGTAACCTTTTAAATTTCAATGATCAAACAATAATATATAGCAAAATTCAATAAACAACGTGTAACTTTTTTAAATATCAATGAGTAAGTATTAATTTATAGTAAAATTCAGTGATCATTAATTAAATTATCTTGACCAAATATCTCAAAAAAAAAATTTAAGTCATTTCTAATCGTGTAAAAAATTATTTTATAAAAAGTATTACTTGAGCATGGAGTGAAAATGAAAGGGTCCGGGGTATATATATTACGTGGGGGTATGCACAACTGCATCAATGAAGAAATAAGGTAATTTTTCGCTTTTTCAGGATTTCTCTGTAATACCGTGCTTTCCATCGACTTCGTATAACATAGCATTTGTTTAAAAATATTTATTTCAAAATATCACTTTTTTAATATATTCATTTTTAACAATACATTTTCTTTAAAAAATAATTATAACGTTTTATAATATTTTCTCTACTTTTAGTCATACATTTTTCAATAAAAATAAATTTCAAAAACTCACTTTCATATAAGCACTAATATTTTTATATTTATAAGTGACAAATTGTATACAAGGTTATAAAAGCTAGATCAGACCGAACCGGTGGGTTTCAATCAAAAAAATCGAGAATTGGATGAATAGTTGATTCGATTGATGCTTATAGCCTGTATGTATGGATCCTGGCTAAAACCTGAAAAATCAAACATGCAACCAAAAATCAACAACTCGATTGCGATTTTACCGGGTTCTTCGATTTTGTTTTGAGAATTAAAAAAAAAAGTTAAGGAGAATTCAACGTTGATCTATATCTAGCTTCTTCCATTTTGCTGATGCAATATACGATATAGAAAATTTGCAAAAAAAATGCAAAAAGAGAATGAAGAGAGAACCTGTCGTCATTATTCTCTCAAATTGTTGGTAAGAACGTATGATTTATAGGTTATGTAAGGTTTGGCTTTATTGAATATACGATGTGATGCTACCAAAATTCGTACCTGCAGATTTCTCGAGCTTGATGATTCGGGTTGATCACGATCGTAGTCTTCCGGTACATGAAACAAAGGCAATGAAGTGTGTTCTCGTCGCCCCTCCAATGCTTAAGTCAGAAAGAGAATTATATACGTGAGGTTATATGCCGGAGAATAATGAAAAACGTACTTGAATAACGACTCAAGGTTCTGTATTTATAGTAAGCGACATTCTCCTAGTGGGACTCAACTAGCTAGATGTCCTTATCTGTTGGAGTCCTAAATAGTTAAGGAGTTGGTCAAATTCCATAATTATATGTGGGATAGAATCCTTGGAGGAGTCAAATATATGGTTGAGTTAGAGTCATAATTGCTTAGGAATTCTAAAGGGTCAACAATCGTAGGTTGTGAGGGGAGCATATGCTCGAGGACAAGTATTGCAATATGCGAAGCAGCCAGGCCGGATGTGGTCGGCCATAATGTCTCGAGGCCACCACATGCTCGAGGACTCCATAGTTGGAGTTATAAGTTCATCGAAAATAGTCGTCGGGATAATTTTGTGATCGGGCTGCTGGAAATGTCACTATCATTGGCCCCCGTGCATATATGTTTGAAGCCTTCGCTCTAGGATACGATGCAAAGAGACTGGAAATAAGAGGTCGGGAAATTAGCTCGAGGATGTTTTTAATGACAGGTGTTCAGAAGGGCTGATGTGTACTGAGGTAAGCCCTAAAATAGGAAATGGCGGTAAAAAATGGTAGGGGGTGGATGTAGGACACGTGGCCAGATCTGACGGTCAGGGTAGTGACCTTTGGACTACCCGTCCCTGTTGCCTATAAATACCCTCTCCACATTTCATTTTTCACTTTTTACTCTCAGTAAACTTCTCTTGCTAATCGTCGGGATCAGAACTTTGAGCTTTTAGCCGTCGACTTTAAGGTAAGACCTCGAGTTTTTAAGTTATTCTTTAGGCCCTTTTTTACCTAGGTCGGGATGTCTAGCAGTAGCAGTACTGAGTCTTCGTCCTCCTCCTCGAGCAGTACTCCCGAGGACATAGGATGCTCGATCATACCTATTGTCGTCCCAATTAATGCCCAACCTCGGGCACAAAGTATCCCGACCCCATTTAGGTACCCCGAGGTTCCTTGTAAATTTAAAGAACATCTAGCAATATCGACGGCTAGGGAGCATGGGCTCATGCCAAAATGTGATATTAGGACGTCAGGGGTAGAGGATAGGATGGCCTTTGCTCGAGATAGAGAGTTCGTGATTTTTAGGGACTCACTAAAGGGGGGATTTAGATGGCCTCTGCATCCCTTTTTTGTGTCTTTATTGGTCGAGCATAACATGAGCCCTGGACAACTTGTGCCAAATGGGTGGAGGATGCTCACCTATTTTTTTATAGCCTGTAGGTACCTAGGAATTAACCCATACGTCGATCTCTGTAGAATGGTCTTCGGCCTGAAACAGTTACCTCAATATACCTGTTTCGCTTACCTTTCGTCCCGAGGAGGCTTCAAATTACCGAGGATGCCCAGTTCACTGTAAGGATGGAAAGAAAAGTGGTTTTATGTCGCACCTCAGGATAGTGACCTTCCTTTTACTCCTAGGTGGGTTTTGCCCGATACTCCCAGGTTTTGTGAAGGCCAGGCCTATTTTGAGTCTTTAGAAAGGCATAGGATGATGTTAGAGAACCTCGAGCCTCTTGTATATGATATAGATGACATCCTCGGGGATGACATTCTCGATCTCGCGAATGTGAAAGGCACTAAGGGTAGGGATAATCTTTTTGCCTTCTTCCTTACTGATCTGTCTTTGAATGTATAATTGTGCTCATGTCAATGACTTGTTTTTTGCAGAGATGACTTTTGATCCTTCAGCCCTCAAACAGACCGTGACCAAAAAGTCGAAGGCCCCTCAAGCTCGAGCTCCAGGTCAAAGAGAGGGAAGAAGAGAGCTCGAGAGTCAGGCCTCGAGAATATTAGGAGTGGGCCAAAGGAACCTTCTGCCCGGGGACAATCCTCAACCATACAGGCCAATGAGACTCCAACTGCCCCACCTCGGTCACATCCTCGGCCAAGGCGTACCCCCGAGGTTGTTGACCTCGAGGATGAGGTCCCACCTATGCCCTCGTTCCAAAATCAAGATCCTGACTGGTGTCTCCTGGTGTCCAGCATCGTGGACAAGTATCAGAAGGACCTCGATTTTGATGAGGGTATGAAGGCTCTTCAATCTCTCACTCTGAAGGTAAGCTCGCTCAACTTACTTGGTGTAATTTATGGGGTTATACGATGTGATTGCTTTAAACTCAGGTTTATATGATGCAGGCTCTGAGCATTGCCCGAGGCCTTTCTCTAAAGGGGAAAGACGAAGCACAAAAAACTACTAAGCTCGAGGACACTTCTCGAGCACATGAGAAGAGGATAGCCGACTTGGAAGCTGAGCGCTTCCTTCTCCAGAGGGAGCTTGAGGACTCGAAGAACGACGTCAAGAGAGCTCGGGAAGAGGCTCGAGCTGCCAAGGGCGAGGCTGAGGATTTAAAGCTCGAGATCGAGCATTTGAAGATTGATTTCGAAATTCGCCTGGCTGAAGCTCGAGGGGTTGCGATCAAGGATTTCAAAATGTCCGAGGAGTTCAACGGGCTTAAGGGAGAGTACGCCATGGGCTCGTACTTCCATGCTTTCAAAGAGGCTCGGCATTTTTGAGGTCGAAGCCTGACGCAAAACCCGAGGACTTAAAGAGCATCCTTGAGGTTGCTGATGACCTCGAGCTTTCAGAGTCCGAGGAAATCGTCGAGGACCATGAGGTCGATATTGACGGTGAGGACGCGGCAAAAGAGTAGGGGAGCACGGCCTCGGGAGAAAGAGCCGAGGACCTAGATTAGTTTATGTTTTTTTCTCATGATGACATCCCCCTTTTTTTGTATTTTGAACAAGTATGCTGCTCGATCTTAGATAATGTTCCATTTATGGTATTTTGCTCGATCAAGTATTTTTCATTTTGCGCGATTATGTATGGCTGATGTCTCGATCATGACAAACTCAAATAGCTCGACGTTAAGATGGTTCGATAACTTGACGCCTAAGATGAATTGACAACTCGACGCCTAGATTAATTAAATATCTCGACGCCTAGGGTGAATTGACAATGCGTCGCCTAGATTAATTAAATATCTCGAGGACTCAATTTGTAAAATCATTTTTGAACATTTAGTGTTGAACTCGAGCATGTAGACAAGTTATCCCGAGGACTCAATCTGTAAAATCATTTTTGAACATTTAGTGTTGAACTCGAGCATGTAGACAAGTTATCCCGAGGACTCAATTTGTAAAATCATTTTTGAGCATTAAGTGTTGAACTCGAGCATGTAGACAAGTTATCCCGAGGACTCAATTTGTAAAATCATTTTTGAACATCATGTATCGAGCTTGAGCATGCATGACGACGTAATTGTACCGACCTATAGCATGTTCCCGAGGACTGTAAATGGCCTTTTTATAAGATCTCTGCCACGCGATTTATATAACGTGATTTTATACCGCAAGGCACAGTGTCAAGTTTTGTAGTATATTAAAGAATTGAAAAGTGTCGAACCCACAGGGATTGATATTCGACTTTCACTGAGTACTATAATTGTGTCCGCGTTTACTATATCTAGACAATCGAGCGTCAAATTAATGTTTGAATACTAAACTAACGTCAATGAATTAAATAGTGCACTAAAAGTGAGGCAATTTCTAAAGACTAAATCAAACTTACGTAATGTCTAGGGAAT